AGAGTTTGAATTCAATGAAAAGGAGATGGGAATGCTGCTGTCTGGTCATAATTCATCCCTCTAACTATTATGTTATTCTCATATTTAACAAAGTATGGTTTTGGGTCATTTGACTATTTCATTGTTCGTGGGATTTCCACGGAACAAATTCCCTATGACTATGATAAAATTTGCTGCTCAGCAATCATCATGTCACCAGAAATTTAAAAAAAGGTGAATTTAAAGGCAATAAGTCTTGAAAAAGATGCCAATACATCAGGACTTCAATTAAATAGCTGACAGATTCTTGAAACTTTGAAGAAAATAGTCGCAGTAATCAATCAAACCAGTGATGCTTTGATAACACCTCTCAGGATATTTCTTTGATCGTTTTCTCCGCAAACAAATAGAAAATCAAGATAAAAGCTACTACATCTCTTAAGAGAATAAATTCTGTCAACAAGAGTGTAATTTAATAGAAACTTCAGTTCTCTAATCTAAATTCGTTTTCACTCAAATTCAGTCAAATTATCTTCTGAAAATATCTGAAATGATTACTAAATGTATAAAGAAATCTATTTTAAAGGTGCAGGTAATTTAAAATGTATCCACACACAAGAGCAATATCAGTATTCATTACATCCATTTCTATGTAGTTGAACACAAAAATATACCTTTTTGTTTGGAATCCATATTCGTATCTGTTCTGTACAAATGAAGATCCTCACAATAAACTGATGGTCGAGTAACAGACGTCTGCTTCTAAATCTGTTTCTCAATGAAAGATTACAGACACAAAATAATGACCATATAGGACTTCAAGTTTCCATCAGTTGTGTAGGCTACTTTTCTCAACTCTTGGACTTATCCTCCCTGTTTATAGCTAGCCTTTCATACTAGCTTTTAGATTTGTTTCCTTTTTCAAAGTAATTATTGTTCTTTAAGAGTAGCTGGAGGATTTCCTGTATTATGCACGTAAAACTTCCTGTATTGTGGTATATAAAAGACATCCAGCAAATGAAAATGGCCACTTAAATAACGACGTCTGATCTTTTTCCTGTCGCCATCTCTAAAGATATACTATAAATTTACATGGGCATGGTCGCAATCAAAGCAAGTATCGTAATACAGACAACAAGCAGTGGTTTACTTCATTACCATTTCTGGTGATAGTATCATTACAATTTTACCTATCAACTTGTCCCTGTCTGGCAAATTTGGGCTCGACTGGCTAAATATAATCTTTGTCATAGCAAATCACAAAAATCAAAAAAAAAAAATTCCTACTAAAATCAATGAAAATTAGTTAAATCACAAAGTGAATCAATTGAAAATATAAATTTTTTTACAGCAATCTAAAAGAGTTGCCATCATTTTTTCACCCAAAATTTTAGATTTATGCAAATAACTATCCTCGTTTTTAAATATTAGACTGATACTAAAATAACATCTTTTAACCGCCATATATATCTCACAAAAGATTTCGTCATTCAAATTATAAGTAGAAGTTTTAATGTGAAACTACCTACAAATTATAATGATTCTCAGAAACTGTTAAAAGAATTTGTAACCCCTCATATTACCATAAATTACAAGAGTCAAGACCACTCCTTCATGGTGACAGGACTTTGGTCAAAAGGTTAAATTCAGTGTCATCAGCTAAAGAAAACATCAAATAACCCACTCAAACATAGTCACACATATTAAGTTCTTAATATAATTTACTTATCTTCAACTGACTTTTAATTAGAGCCAATTAACAAGTACAATAACAACAACTCTCTTACATTTTCATTAATTCCACTGAGTACAGCCACAGCCTACACATTTTATATTCATGGCAAACCCAACATGACGGGAATCAATAGTACATGCAAAATAAAATTATCTTTTACACATTATAATAATCCTGGATGATATTAAACTTTTAAAGGCATACATACATCCCTCCAAAAGAGGAAATGAAATGAAATGGGGTTTATCGTCCTACTGTTCTGCTCTGACTGTACAAATGAAGACGGGAATATGCCATACAGTGTGCTATGAGGGAAATTTAGCCCGGGTAGTGGCACTACGGCCTGCTCTTATATCGAAATCCAACTGCCAAGGGATCTTTTTACGTGCATGCCAATGTATACACCGGCCCTCATTTTTTGTCCCATCCGAATGACTAAACACCTGTCCTTGTCAGGCCCTCCATCCTACACCACTGACAAGGGGAAACCACGTTGAAAATCCCGATGAACTATCTCGGCCAATACAGGGATCGAACATGCGACCTCCAGACTAGCGAGCCAGCGTCTTACCCACCTAGTTACAGAGGCTCCCTATCCAAATAGGAATTTTTCAAGACATTTTAGGACAACAAAAGCACCAAATTCTTATAATCTTAATTTGAAGATATAATAAAATTCAAGACTAGGACAAATTAACTCCTTACTAGAAGTACAGCCAATGCATGGAGGAATCCTTGTACAGTGCAGGCAAGATCGGGTCTCAGTGATACAGTTGGGGACCCAAAGAATATAATATAACTAAATGATGGGTAATATTACCCAAGAAATGAACTTGACAAGACTGGATTAGAAGAAGAGATATTTTATTCCACAGGTAGATAAAGGGCTTGCACCAGAAATGCGTCCTGAAATACAAATACTCTTCTTGTCGAGTCTGTTGCTTAAGGTATTTTTCCTGTGCTTTAAATTTATATAGATTAGTGAAATTTGCCAGTTATAATTTGAAAAAAGAGTAGTCTGTAGTGCCGATGTTCAGATAAAATGTCCCACATAGCACTGTAAACAGTATGATATTTGACAGAGATCATGTACAGTAACATTTAAATTGTAGGAACTATGGCACTAAATAGTCCCTAAATCAACCTTTCACAATTATGATACGTTTACAAGCGGTGTGGTGAGTGGTCTAACACATGCAACTTTAAATCAAGTGGCATGGTTTCAATCTCAAGGAGCAGTGTCACTTGCCCAACCTCATGTGGTTTCCTTCCACTGCTAAAGACCCATGAATAATTTGCATTAAGTGGATGTTAAACCCCATCTCTCTCTCTCTCTCTCTCTCTCCCACAATTTACCTAAGATACACTAAATACCGGAAAACACCGGAAAAACCTAACCCTAAACCTAACCCTAGCCTGGTCCTCTGGAAAACACTGGAAAAACCTAACCCTAACCCCCCGCACACAGAGGACCAGGCTCCGGGTTACCTATTTAGGGTGTTTTCCGGTATTTAGTGTATTTACCGGTATTTAGTGTTTTTCCTGTGTTTTCCAGCATTCAGTATAACATGGTGTTTTCCGGGAGTGTTTGCCGGTGTTGTCTGGTATATAGTATTGCCGGTGTTGTCTGGTATATAGTATTGCCGAGAAAAATGAATTGAAAATTTCATTTGAATTACTTTTTTCTGAGCCAAGTTATCACGGTTTGTAGTTTTGACAAGATTGCTTGTTAATTATTGAAACCAAGGTAGAGGTATATTCAAGGCTTAGTCTCGCTTCTCCATTATTAAATTAAATCATTAAATGGCTGAACCGTTCTAACCTATAGTTAAAATCTCCTGCATCTGATGGCATCGAGAGTTTATTATGGTCTGGTCATGTCAATAAATGTCTAATTAATAATTCATATAATAACTATATAAGGCATAAAGAAAGACCAGCAATAGGCAAATTTAGCTCTTGAATTCTTTAACTACAGTTGAGAAAGCTAGACACTGCTTTAAATTTGAGACCAACTTTACAGGACTGGAAGCGGTCTCCTGATCATTACGTGAAAAGAGATAAATAACATCCAGACAAATCTTGATTAATGAGCTTAGAAATAATGGAGGGACTTATAACTGCTTATATCATTTATGTAATGATTTATTAGACAATAACATTATAGACAGCAGTGATTAATGTTACACTGACATGCAAGTCATGGATACTTTTGGTGGGGGAGGGGGGGATTTTCTATAGGTAACGCTGACATTCTCCAAAGATAGGATTGATTATATAATGGTAATGATAAACACAAATGGTTTTATGCAAGACTATTACTGTATAAAACAGAGGTAATTCTTATACTCATCCAATTCAATGGTTACGTACTGTGATTTCACTATAACACTGTTATTGGGGTTCACTGATATAACCCATGTTATAGCAGGGCCGGATTAAAACCTAAAGAGGCCCTTAATACTTAAAAGCTTTTGGTGCCCTCATATATATGTAATTCAAAATATAAACTATAATAAACCATAAACAACCACCAAGCACATGATTAGAGTTTTTCAGGGATTTTATAAACATCATCATTAATTGCGACAAACAAAATAACAGTATGAAGAGACAAAAACAATGAAAAACTAATTGAAAGTTCTTAACTAATTTTTAAATTAAATATTTAAAATTTTGCATCTAACCATGCAGACATTCTGTGGTGCCCCCATTCCCATTATACCCTAAGCATATACTTATTTTGCTTAATGGTTAAACCAGCACTTTGTTAAAGCTAGCCTCCTACAAGCAATGCCAAATCCCACCTAACAGCAATCGGCGTAATAGTGCAGCCTCAGTATAATTTAGTTTTCAATTTGATTTCAAATACAGAGTCTGGTTGGGCACATAATTATAATTAACAGCAAAACAAGTCACATCATTCACATAAATCTTAAAATTCAAAAATATGTACAAAGACAATTGTTATTATGTTCCTGATATTAAAAATACCTCTGTGAAGAATAGTGTGGCTTGTATGAAAAAAAAAAAATATTTGATTGATTTGTCTAAGACACATAAAGTTGGCAGTGTGAAATCAAATCTAAACTTTAAATAACCAAAACTTAAATCAGAAATGATCAAATTGAATAATTTCAGGACCAAAATCTTTTTAAATAAAAATGTCTTTGATCGTCTATGATCTTATATTAAGAGTCAATATTTAACCGGAATTCCGGCATATTAGGACTTCAGTTATTAATATTATATGATACAAGATTGTGAAAATTGATTATCAACTTACCAACACCTGAGACCAATCATAACAAATTATCACACAAACAGAAGATTCGAAAAAATCCTATATTCACGATTCATATTTCACTTCTGCTCCAATAATCCTGTTTACTATAGCGTAAAGTAAATTACCGTAAATCAAGTGTATAAAATCACTCGGACTAGATACCAGATGAACAAAATTAGCAGATAACACATAGAATGTATTGACTCAAAGTAGACGATCCAACTCTACGCTCTCTTCCAACAAACATCACTTACTGACAGGGGACTGGAATTGGGACCATCTCGACAACGTTTGCAGAACAAATCCAAATATTTGTCTGCTAGTCCTCGGTGGTTAGTTATGCAATTTTCTTAAAACAGGGTCAAATCTTCTGTAAATACTCCAACAGATTTGAAGATTTGTCCTTCTTTAACTTTCCAAGTTTGGATTTGATTTTTGAAATTGCTGATGGCACATTTAAATGAGGGACTAAATCCTTCGTTCCGTGACACAGATGACAATTAGAGATGATCTTGTTAGCGTTGTGTAAAGAACCGTGTTCTACTTATTTTGCTTTGTGGGTTTCTTTGTTTTAAAGAAGGGGATAAGATGAGTGGTACAGTGCTTTAACATGCAGTTTAAAAGGCATTTATTGACAGACCAGACGGCCTGTATTTGCTCATGATATTAGTATTTTGACATAGTTGGTGGAGATGACCCATTGCACTTTACAATTCTAAACAAAAATACACCAACCAGTCGATTTTAACAAAATCAAAATCACCTATTCAATGAAAGATAGGTTGCCAGGCATTCCACAAATATGGTAAAACTTAAATGGAAGTTATTATCAGAAATTCAATAAGATTCCTTGATACACAAACAGAGCTGATGATAACACTTTTGTTAGAGCATTTAGAAGTTTATACAAAGTAATCATTGGCATTAACTCTGGAAGTTTTTATCAGGTATTCAATAGGCTTCCTCACTGCACTAACAGCTTATATCAGATTATAAATGTAGTCTGCAGACTATTCACAAGAAATCAAAGTAAATTGTTGACCGTCGAATTAAGTGAAGAAACAACTAAAAATTCACTTTGTTAAGAATTTTAGATTTGTTTATGGCCTAAGCTTTCGAACACAAAATCAGTTATACATAGGCCCCCTAAGCTTATTTAAGCATTGGCTCTATCTGTAAATCTTAAATTTAAAATGTGGACAGATATCCATCCACTGAGCAAACAAATAAATACATTTAAGTGGTTAATTAGTCATTTCAAGTAAGCAAGCAATTTCTAAAAATACATTACTAAAGTGATTAACAGAGAGAAAATACATTACCATAAAACTGAATATCCAACCTAAACATAATTTTATAAAGCATAATTGTTTTTGAAAATTTTCAGTTCCATCTACTGAAAACAGATCTATGAAATGCTATGAAATGCTTCTACCTTTTTACCAAATCTATTCATTGAAAACAGAACTATATTGGTTCAAGAAGCTTCATTCTTGATTATCACAGACTGTCAGCAGAGTACGGGCAAACCAACTCACTTGATAATTTGAAGTGTAGTCACATTTCATTTCATCGCATATTTATCACCTTCATGGAGGTCAATACTTGGAATCTCATACTTGGAATAAATTTCAGTCTTGCCTCAAACATCAGTTAATATAACCACACAAAGTATTACAATATCTCAGACGATGCACCAAGAATGCGTCTGCCAGATCTAAGACCAATATCAAACAAAGTACAAAATGAAATTAAACATGTTGTATAACCATAAAGCAATCAAAAGAAAAACCACGACAAATTACACAGTTGGCATATCAGTGTATTATAATCTAGTTACCCTACAGACAATTAATGTTCCCATACTAATACATTTCAAGTTCCAAACACATAAAAAGAGATTATTGCATTAATAAATACGACTCCTGGCAAATTATTTAGATTGGCAAAAAAAAATATCATTTATTCAGTGTCATAGTAAACTTTACACTGCACACTTTGGATAAACTGTACTTTATCTTGGGAATAAGACCAGTTTTTAAGAAAATCTGATCATTCTTATGGAAGTGATAAGCACTGTACCATAAATAAGCATCTTTTTAAAACAAAGCTTCAAAATATAGGATATTCTCAAACAATTAATCTTAGCATTGGCCTTAGTTTGTAGGGTAAGAAGATATTCCTTATGATCTATTAATCAATATCTACAGCACCAGTACTTTATTTACAGGGTTCACAAAATAAGTAGAACTCCTCTTAGTATAAATCTTTTGAGCCCAATATACTTAAACATGCATTATGTGAGATTTAGATAAAGAGTTGGCCTTTCTTGCTATAACAATTCAAATATAGATGAATATATCGAATATTTTATTCATATTACTTTATTCTGAGCAAAGTTATGAGTGCTTGAAGATGTAGCATAGATTGTTTATTATCATAGCAACAGTACTTGACAATCAAGTCTAAGTCTTAATTATCCATTTTATCATTAAATTATTAAATCTTGTGGGTGTCCGATGATCTAGAGAGTTGAAAATAGCTTTTCATGTGAATAAACGTCTAAATAATAGTTCAAGTAACTTTTGGAGCCAAAATAAAGACTTGCAATAGGCAGATTTAGTTCTAACATAATGCATAAAGAAATTATTTTATTTAAAACATCGGCAATACTATATACCGGAAAACACTGGAAAACACCAGAAAACAACCGGAAAACACCATTTTATACTGAATACCGGAAAACACCGGAAAAACATTAAATACCGGAAAACACTGGAAAACACCTGAAAACAACCGGAAAACAATGGAAAAACACTAAATACCGGAAAACACACTAAATACCGGAAAATACCCTAAATGGGTAACCCGGACTGGCACCCTAAATAGGTAACTGGGAGCCTGGTCCTCTGTGTACCTGGGTTAGGTTTAAGAATTTAAGTGTGTAAAGCACTATCTCACTAACCAGGAGGTCCGGGATTCAATCCTGGTGTTGTCCAAGAAAACTCCCCCGGATTTTCCAGTATGGTTTCCCCTTGTCAGTTGAGCAGGACTAAGGGCCAGGCAGGAACAGTGTCTAGTCATTTGGATGTCTGGGCAGAATTTCCCATATAGCACATTTTAAACCCCATTTCAGTCACTCATTCTGTAAGTGAAAGTCACACCTCTGGGATTGTCCGTCTTGCTAAACTGGACAATAAACATATTATTTTTAAAAAAGAAAAAGTCTGATGCTAAAAATAACATCCTCGAACACCATGTTAGAATCAGAACAAAACCTTGTAAAAATGGCTGGATGCTAATCCGCTATCAGTGTTGTGTTATTTTCAGAACAAACTGTTATAGGGTCAGTTGTTGATATAGTCCAGGTAAAAATAGTAAAAACAATTCATTGTCCCATCATCCCTGCCCAGCTTAAAGTCCTATGGTGTCATGATCCCACTCATTAAATGTTATTTAAAGAAGACAAGAGTCAATAAATTAACTATTAGCTAAAACATTCTCACACTGTTTGTTAAATACACTTTAAATCCTACGTTTTATTCCCACGAGTCAATTAAATATATTCATACCATTTTTTATTTCACCAGTCAAATTTGTAACATGGATGGGAAATCTTTCTTTGTTCTTTTCGTTGAATAAGCAGATTATTTTCCCTCATAATGTGGATCTTAACTGTGCAATAACTAAACATTTTCAATGTTATTGCACACTTATGCTGGTTTATGCCAGTTTTAGTAGAAATCATATAGAGAAGTGGGGTGGGTTTTCTTTGCAATAACAATGAGCATGTTGAGCAGGTGTACATGTTACAGGTCATTCGTTGACATGTATAACATCTATAGGCTTAAGGCCTCTGTGGTTAAACCTGTTAACTCATGAAAGCTGTGTTATAAATATAACATATCAAAATGTATATTTAATAAAATTTACAGATTTATTGTCTTAAATTCCAGATGTTACAAATGTGTATTAACTGAACAAAATCCTCAAAGTTGAAGTGGTGTCAGATATTCTAGAAATATTAAGCATATATTGCCTAGTGCACCCATCACTATTTAAATAGTGCAATAGTTTGTAGTTGATTTTATACATTTACTAAAACTAATAATACAAATGTTCACAATTATCTTTACCCCAATATTAACTCTTCAGCAAACTTTGTGAAAACTCTTTCTAAACACCTGATACCACTTCCCATATGAAGATATCTCATCATCTAACAAAATTTGTTGTACTTTTGTATAGTGCATGAAATATTTTTTCCTCTTTACTTACTGGGACAGGACACCATAAATAAAAGTGGCTTGAAGTATGAAAATCAATTGCCAGAATGAGATGATATAACCTCTTTGTCAGAAATTTTCAAATCAAAATATGGTGGTTAGTGACTTTTTTAAGGAATTTCATTTCTCAATTGCATGAGTGACACTTACCACTATAACTCTGGTAATTACAGAGTGGAACTTTTGGGGACCAAATCTACATGTACAGGACACAGAATAAAGAATTGAAACTGTCTTTCACCCTGAAGACTGAACTCACCAGTTTTAATCACTACATGATGGGCTTTTCCTTTAATAAAGAACCCTAAACAAATTTCAACAATATTCCTCTCATATATGGCAACTTTTAACCCTGCTCTTAATATAGACTAGAAAGCATGATAAAATGATATTTCTATGATCATTAGACCTTTCTGTTCAGACATAAAAGATAATTTACGATACCACGCAAAATTTATTCTTTGGACAATAATTAATGGATTTTACTTGCAAAATCATTAATCACATAATTCTGGTACAGAAACGTCAAGTTAAACTATAATCATCCCAGCCTTTGGGTATAGTTTGTTAAACTGATGTAAAAATATCAGGATAATTACAAGGACCATGCACATACATGTTAACAACATTGATCTTTATTACACGCAAAAAAACAAAATGACACAGAGATTTTATTCCCTTGGAAGTCTTGATCAAAATACAGTAATCTTCATGAATTCAATATATGTATGTTTAAAGATTGAGAGTGAGAGTGAGAGATTAAAGTAGCTAAGTCTCTAAATCAATATCATCCAAAGTCTTACACGTTGAAAACACGAATTATTTGTCAATTTAAATCAACATTGATGTTGTGATCTTACCGGGAAAAGGTAGGCTTCTGATATCCAATATTTAAGACAAAATAAACATTTTAGCATTGGTACACGAATCGTGTACCATAGTGCGTTTCAGCGTCATTTGTAATAAGTGACCAGAAAGAACAAGGCTAGACATATTGCACAACTCATGTCAAACAGTGACGCCATATCTTATCTGGAGAGCATGTGCAATAGACTGGAATAACCAGACGCTAGAAATTGCCATTCGGTTGAGACTCATGCCGTATTTCGC